AAGAGCAGTATAAATCATGTTGACACGAACACATCTGTAAACTCAAACGTGTGAATAAAGTATAAACAAACTTATTTTGATAATAATTTGTTGGAGCCAATTTATATTAAGAATGTGTTATCATGATAGGCAAGGTAGTATTTGGTTTACTGATTCATATTTTCAATAGTTATTTCTATTGAAATTTGCCTATAATAGTTACAACAAAATATTGTTACTATGAATATATAAATATTGTGGCGTCGAAACGAAATCCGACGCCAATGTTCGTACATCTTACTTCAACGCAGTCCGGTTCGCTAGTATCCTTCGTCAAGCGACTCAACCAATAACAAGGACGTGCCGAAACTGATTCGCCAGAACTATCAAACAGAGCGCTGCGTGCTGACGTTTACCCTTGCCCCCCTATTCTTTTACCGTCTAAGTATGGCTCTAAGCGAAAGAGGCGAATACATAGTACGGACCTTTTATATAATACTACATTGTACTAATAAAATATAGTAAAATGTTTTTTTTTTGTTTGTCAGTAATAACTTTCCATTACCGAAGTTCATAAAATTTAAGCTATCATATGTTTCAGATGCTCGTTCTTTTGAAATATACATTTTTGTCTTCTTTTCTGTCAATTTGATACGGGGTGATAAAAGAAATATCGATAACTTTTAGAATATATAGTACTCGTTAAATACTGTCAAAATTTTAATAAACAACGGTAAAAAAATGATATTTTTAGCAATATTGCAGTATGTAAAATAATAGTGAACACTTTTTGCTATCATTACATTGAATTCTACATATTGCATAGAGATTACAAGAAGTCCTTTGGGATGAATGAAGGTTTGAGTGGCCAGAATAGAAGAGGCATAGCTTTCTTTACACAGACTGTCAATTCTAGGCGTACCATTTATTGCAGAAAGAGAGTGAATGAGACGCGCTGAAAGTAAGAAAGAGAATACAACACAACGACGAACCTCGAAACATTGGCGTACTCTCAGTTTCTTCATTATTAACACTCAATCAGCTGGTCGATTGCATATACATGTTTACCTAATGCGGACTAGTCTTTGTATTTAAAAGAAAGTTAATAGTATTTTACTAAAATACTTATAATGCGTTCAATAAACGATTCTATTTTTACATTTAGCTATATAACATGTATAATAATTTTTACCTTTAATAATAATTTATCGTATGGATACTGGAATATATAAACATATACTATTTAGAAGTTTTGCATGGGGATGAGACTGTAGTTTCGCCAGTAACAGTTTATTGGCAGCAACGAAGAACAAGTAAAATGACACTGACAATAATTAATAAATACCAAATAATGGGTAACAAGGTGGTAGGATTGAACAACACTACGATAAATTAACAAAAGTGGTAGAAGCCAGGAAGGCGATGGTAGGCATCAACGTACTGAAGAAAATCTACGTGGTGGACACACCGAGAAATTGGCCTCCCGAAATTTGGCCTACTCTTCAAGGACAAAAGAGAAAGTTTTTCCCTAAAACGCAGGAAAAAACAGGTGCGATGACTAACATCCTGGAAAACCAATGTTCAAAGCGTTTTACGGTCCCGTGGAACGCGGTTACTTAAATGAAAAAATGGAAAAAATGTTCCTCACTATCCGCCACAATTACATTAGCATCTACGAAAAAATATTAATTATATATTCAACAACAAACACAAGATATTTATAAAATTAATATGATATTATTACAGTGGATAGAATAATTAGAAACCAATATTGTGCTAGTACTATTAAAGTTTTTGTAAATTCTTCAGTTTTCAGTAAGTCTTTAACTTATGCGACTTACTCGGTATAAGTATGAAAGGGATCAACGTACTCCGCGTTCTTCAGGAGATGAGTCCTGAATGAAATCATTTTATTTTCCATACTAACTTATAATGTACTCAACTATATACTCAAATTTCAACAAACCGTTCCCTTCGAGTCAAGGATTTTCGGTTGAGGCTATCAACACTTCAAGAATGGCGTCGATATAGTTTATCCCAAGGATTACGGACTCGGCCGATTGAGAGAAGTTGGTGAACGCAGAGGCATTTCCTGGAGGAACAGTTGCAAGAGTTGAAACAAAAATTACCTTGCGCGTTAAAACTGCATAGTAGAGTATACTTTCGCGCCCTATCGTCTCTAATAGTCTCTATCGTAATATTTCCTACAAATAAAACTAAATATGTTTTATATGTGTAGTAGAATTCCTGTGTTACAAATGTTCGCAAGAAATCTGGAACCATCGTAAGACCTACGATGTATCTACATAGGTCCCTCATAAATCCTGACACCCGATTACAGTGTAGTTCTCAAGCTATGATCTAAAAGCTAAAAGTGCACGAGCGCAAGGAGAATCGACGACATGCACCATCTAGGTCCTTCCTAGAATTCGGTAAACATAAAAAATGAAACCCAACGCCAATGTTTGTACATCTTACTTTGTTCAACACATTCTCTGTTGCACGCCTTGCCCAATTTCAAAAGCGTGCCGAAAGTGCGGCGTCACTGTTGCCATAACTATAGTTTGCCTCTTTCGTGCTGAGCCACGATCGCGACGGTTAAGCGGGCAGGGCGGCAAGGGGAATCGGTCGAATCGGCCAACAAGGACGTGCCGGAGTAGAGCCGTTATGACAACCCAGTCGAGCGTGGCAACTAGTCGTTCCCCTTGCTCCCCTGGTAGATTAACCATACTTTCGTGACTCAACTCGGTGGAGGCGAACTGTAACGGGCCGAGCCCTGTGAGCAGATCGCAAGTCGCCTCTTGCCCCTGTACACTTTTAGCTTTTTGATCGCGGCTTGGAACGTGGAGCTGTGCTGTACTTCGCAGTGAATGACGTCAGAACCTAAATGGCCGACTTCTCGGAACTGCAGATGTGGGAATAGGCAGAGCTCCCGAAAGACACCTCTTGCCCTTCTGCTGTTCTAGTGAATTCTTTTAATCTCTGTAGAATACATCTGCGTCTGTAAAACTGCCATAATTATAGTCACACGTCCAACGCTTCGCTAACAACTTACATCAGGTGTCACGTAAGTTATGTATGTAGACCTCTCACCTATTGACTAACTATCGACGAAGTAAAAGTGTTGAGGGGCAAGGGGAAGCATCCGTTCACTCCACCTCTTCCGCATCAAAATAATTCAGACACGGCTCGTAATACAATGTACATAATAGCAGATAAAATGATAACGAACAGTACCTAAATTTGTAATTTATAACATTTAATATTTATATATATCATCATCAATAAATGTTATTATACAATACAATACACAAATATGAAGGAAGAAAGAGTATGTACTCATGAATACAAGGGAACTTTCTGAGTCTAACTAACAACAATTTTTTTCGGGGGAATAATCTTGGAAATATTTTTAAAATTTTGTTGATTTCTGTTTCGATTAGATTTGAGTTAGGTTTTAAGGATAAAATATGCTAATAGAAAACTGAACAATTTTAATCTTAATATTAAAAAACACAACTGTTCGTGTATCGGAATCCAGTTACCATAAACGGTTCAGTTATATAATCAATACAATTTCCATAAACGATTAGTTACATTTTTTTATATATAGCCGAAATTTGTTTAATATCTATTAATAATAACTTCAAACAAAAATACATCACATTTGAGAGTGTGAACAGGGCACATCGCGTTTGTTATACATTAGTGTTATCTTCTAAGAGTCTATATATATTTTTGAAAGGAACATTTACAGTGTAGCCCCCATGTTTGCTTCCGCGACCGTTGGTTTCAAAGTGCACAGGGTAAGGGGACTCTTCCACTTACGATACTCCCGCCGCCACGACTTTCGACGCATGGTCATTATTGGCGCGCGGCAATACACAGGACGAAAGCGAGACCGAATGTGACGAAGTAAGACGAAGCTATAGGGAATTTTGTTTTCTATCTTTCCGTCTTACTCCGTCACATTCGGACTCGCTTACATCCTTTGTTATTGCCGCGCGCCAATAATGACCATGCGTTGAAAGCCGAGGTGGCCCGAGCGCCGTAAGAGTCCTCTTGCCCCTGTGCCCTTTTAAACCAATGGTCGCAGAAGCAAACATGGGAGCTGCACCGTAGGATCGTCGTATGCGAATTTCGATAAACTTTCTCAATCGAATCAGATTGGTGCTGCCAGCATTTCAGAAACGGAGCAGACATTGTCTATATATTTTCTATCTCATGAGTGTTGGCACACTACTGACAAGTTAAAAAGTGACAGAAGTAAGGGGATTTTTCCACTTACGATGCTCGGGCCCGCTCGGGCTCTGACGGTGCGATCGTTATTGGCCACGCGGCAATAACAAACGACGGACACAAAACCGAATACCATAAAGTGAGATACAGCGAGCATTGGCGTCGGATTTTGTTTCGGCACGGTAACGGCGTCTTAAGTTTATAGAATCTCTGGGGATATGGTGGTCCGACTATGTTTCTTAGAAGAACTGGGTGGAGCGTGCGGTGATTCCCCTTGCCCCTGTGTCTTTTTAGCTTGTGTGAAGTGCGCCGCACTCCTGAACTGGAGAATGCTAAGGACGGCCAAAGGAGCGATATTCGTGAAGAAACAGTCGTAGCAAACTGATCGAAAGCACTCCAAACGTTAAAACAGAAAAGTGTACATTCGTGCTATAGTTTTGTTGTTATGAGTGCGTGCGTGCGTGTGTGCGTGTGTGTGTAGTAATAAGTGTTTACTAGTTTACTTTTATATTTTAATTTTTTATTTGTATATTTACATTTACATATATTTAAAGTGTATTATATTTTATTTTGTATACAGTTCTAGAAAATGACCACATTTAAAAAAGGACAAACTGTTCATAGCCAAGCACGAACCATTGTAAAACGAGTGATAGAGAAATGCGAAGAAGAAACACTAAAAGGTGAATTGTTACATGCATTGTATAAACCAAATATCCGAGCAGCAGAGTATACTGGTTTATCCAGAAGCACAGTTAACAAAATCAAGAATGAAACTTTCGATTCAGAAGGAACAGTCGTTTCAACGCCAGCGAAGAAAAAACGAAAAACTGCTGAACATGAATTCCGTTGCTCTGAGAAAGATAAAATGTTAATAAGAAATACTATTTATAATATTTACAAGCGAGGGAAAGTTGTGACATGTGGCCCGAAATTACTGAAAGAAATTCGTGAACAAATGAATTTCCCATGGGATGTTGGCATCTTACGCAAATTATTGAAAAGCATGGGATATGAATGGAAAAAGTATAACACTTGGAAAAGAATATTAATTGAAAGACCAAGGATAGTGGCTTGGAGGGGTAATTATTTAAAAGCAGTACAATCTCATAGGATGGAAAATAGGAATATTATTTATATTGACGAAATATGGGTAGACAATACTCTGAATTTTGGGAAGTATTGGCAAAGTGAAGAAGAATTCGGGGCATCAAAAAATACTAGTTCATCAGAACGGATAATAATCGTACATGCGGGAGGACAAAACGGATTTGTCCCCAATGCAGGATTAATTTTTAAAACTGATAGTGCCACTAGCGATTACTATGGGCAAATGGATGCTGTGAATTTTGAAAGCTGGATTGTAGAATTATTAGTGCCAAATATTCCACCGAATACGGTGGTGGTAATGGATAATGCTCCGTATCATTCCACTGAGATGAACAAAGCGCCACACAAATATGCAAAAAGAGAAGATATGCTAAGTTGGCTTGAACAGAACAATCTTCCACATAAAGAAAAGATGAAGAAATATGAACTAGCAGAATTAATATCTCGGCATAAACCAGCGAAAAGAATATACAAGGTAGACGAAATATTAAAATCGTATGGACATTCTATTTTAAGATTACCCCCTAATATGCGAGAACTAAATCCAATTGAACAAGCCTGGGTAAAGATAAAACAAACAATCAGCGAAAACAATATTATTTCGACGTTAACATTAGATGAATTACAGTCTTTATTGCCCGAAACAATAGACAGTGTAATGGCAAGTGATTGGGCTGAGTTCTGCAAACATACGGAACAACTTGAAAAAGAATTCATGGATAAGGATAGTTTATTAGAAGTAGCCATGGAAAATGTAACATTAAATAATTTAGGTTCAGAAAATGATGATGGCAGCAGTTCCGATGATTTCTAAAATGAGAAAATGTAAACAGTTATATTTAATTTTAATATTGATTTTTAATAAAACTGCTCTACAAATCTTCTGAGGAAGTCATCACCATCTTTGTCATCGTATTCTGAATTTGTATTTCCAATCATAAGTTATCCATGGTGGGTTTCAATAAAGTATCATTTTACAAATATTTCTTCAGCCTTTTTTATATTTTCAAAACTTCATGTTCTCTGTTGCAATCTCATCTTTTGCTGCTTCCTTTAGTATTTGTAGTTCGTTAAATAATAACTTGGAAAGTAATCCTCATATTTTTTTGTTTATGTTCACTTAAAGGAATTTAATCGGTCACACATATATGGTGGTAATCTATAAATGTTGGATTTGATTATTGTTTGGTCTATTTTGTTGGTTTCTCTTATATGCTGTGCCATTTTTGTTAACTATGATGTGATTCATATTTATTCATAATTTTGAAATGTGTTATGTTATTTTGATCAATTCAATATTTTTTGTTGGAATATTATAATGGTAGTTTATTTGTTTATGTGGAATGATACAGAGATATGGCCATTACCATCACCTTATTTTATAAATGACCTGATAATAATTTTTCTAGTATCTCTTTTTCAAACTTAGCAGCATTTATTCTGAATATTAATCCTGCATCTGATGCGAATATGGGTTTCCTAACAATGAACAATTATAAGCTGAAAAGAAGGGCTTATACTTTACGATCCACTGATTATTTCATCACCTTTCCAATATGTTCAAAAACATAGTATATCATTGACCCATATTTAATAGATATAAATAATACTTCGATATTTTCTTCTGTGATGTTCAGTTGCATTTAAATATTTCTTCCTCTTTCTGTCAATTTATTAAGTGTGTATAATTTTCATGAGAAAATAACTTTCTCACGGATGACAATAAAAATTAGTGGGATAATTGGTATAATCTTTCTTCAATATATAATTTAACATGAACTTTGTATTGTAATTTGATCATCTCTGAAGTAATGAAATGTTCTCTTGGTGCTTTTTAATTGTTATTACATGGGGATGGAACTTTTCTTCTTGCAATGGACTTTCATTTTTACATTTGTTAAGTGATCCTATGCATATCCAGTATAAGCAGCAGCATGGATGTTTGGTTTAACTATTGGATGAAGTAAATATAATCCTGACTGTTTTCTTATTAAGTTTCTATAATTCTTTTCACCATGGGTAATGCTTGGCTATGAGCTAATTGTGCCTCTCTTATGTGTATGTAATTGTTTGTTATGTTTAATTGCAAAATATGTTTAATAATGTAATGCAAAACTTATTGCTACACTTAAATGGCACTTGTATTTTAATTACATCAAATGATAATAAATACTGCATTAACTAAAAGTGTACTGTTTATGCATAAAAGTAAGTAGAATAATTTTTATTTAATTATATTAAATTTAAGAAAACAATTGCAGCCATTTTAATAGAAATGAAAAATTTTTCAGGTATCTACAAAACTCAAAATGGGAGGTAAATACTAAAACTATGTAATGGAAAAAATGCTCAACATTGTCGAAGTAGACCGTTTCCAAGAAACTGTTCTTTGAAAATTACAATAGTTTTCAAGAACTTGTTTACCTGTTTCTGAAATGAAAAAATCTCTCCTTTGTGTATGAAGTAAATTTAACAATTTTTGTTAAGTAATATTAAATGTAAGGAAATAATTGCAGCCATACTAATGAAAATGAAAAATTTTATAGGTATTTACAAAAATGAAAATGGGAAGTAAATACTAAAACTGTGCAGTGCAAAAAACACTCAGTGATGTCCAAGTAGACTTTTCAAGCAATTGTTGCTTCAAAGATTATAATACTTTTCAAGGACTTTATTTGTTCCTGAAATAAAAAAATGTCTTCTTCATGTATAAAGTACATTTAACAATTTTGTTTTAATAATATTAAATTAAAAAGCTATAAAGCTATTCTAATAAAAATGACAACCTTTGCAGGTATTTACAAAACTGAAAATTGGAAATAAATACTTAACATGTGAAATGGAAAAAACACTCAACAATATCCAAGTCGACTACATTAAAGAAATTGTTGTTTCAGAAATTTTAATAATCTTTAAGATATTTTTTATCTTAAATATGTATCAAATTATGTTTACCAATTTTGTTTTAAAGAAATTACTTAAAAAAATTGCAATCAGTTTGACTGGTTGATTTGCATCCTTAAGTAATCACCCCCGTCACTGAACGAATTACTCTCATTAGTTGTAGTTTAGTATTACTTTAATTTACTATTAATACTATTAGTTTAGTATTACTTTAATAATATCAATGATATTATTAAAGCATGCATTAATTCTGATGATAATCTGGCTGATACCCAGGACTGTGCGGCGCACATACCTGGAGGGGAACGTGTTAGCAACCAAACCTTATCTTTATACATCTCACGTGGACACACAATCCCACATCAAATATTCTTGGAGCCATCGGCGAGTGAAGCATGGATACATTTAAGTCAGCTAAGCATAAATTTTGTAAACATTACAGGGATCAATTTTGAAATTAAGCCCGAATTTTCATTGTCGTGGACACATCATACCAGTGATACCATCTTAGGGTATCACGAAGGTAAAGCTGTTCAAAATTTAGAAAAGACCAGAAGCATATTAGGTGGTGCAATATTTACCTATCTGGCAGCACTTACTAAAGAAGTGAATATCACGAGTTCATGGGTACAGAGGCGGAAAAACCAATTCCAGGATCGAATTCCTGGTATAAACCTAGATGCTTATGTCAGCGAATCTATCGTAAAACACTATGCACGTCTATACACACAAATTGATGTGACATGGGAGGATCTCTATCGTCAATTAGTAACTAGCTGGTCAATGCTGCAGGTTCCTGAAGGTGTGTCCTTATCGTGGATCATCGAGCAGGCAACAAATAATAACGTAACCTGCCTTACCACTATAACTGATGTGGTAACCAAACTCAGATTTTTTGATGTCGATTTACTAATCAATAAAGGTATACCACGTGATAACTTCAAATTTGCCATGATGCAAGCAAGAGACCTACTCCGGAACCCGTTCTGCTCCCTCGTGAAGCCGACTGTTAATATCCGGCAGTACCCGGACCTAGCATATATTTGCACTTTTATTAAGCGTGATCTCCTAAGAGATTCGGCGTTTACGGGTTATCGGGGGCAAGCAAGTGCCATGTGCGCCAGGACGGAGAGCGAGCTACGTCAAATTGCTACTGCTCTTTTCAGTATATCCAAAGAACAAACGGGGGCTGAGCTAAGTATCAACGACATATACTTAACAAGAGTGTCACGCGACACAAAGAATTATAAGATCATAGGAGATCAGGTATTTGCTGTTCCAAAAGACATTGAGGATGAAGGGCTGCATCCCGATGATGCGGATGGGGAAGATCACTTGCGAACATCAAGAAGGCTGCGTGCTGAACAACTGAGACAACAGCGTGTGGATTGGCCGCGACAGGCTCAGGACCTACCAAGAGGTAGCCAATTAATCCCTCGCGACGAAATTTATGATACATTAGAGAAGTCAACATCAACCCATGCTAAAGCCTTCAAACTGGTCATGGCTAGAATGTACGCCGTCCAAGTGCAGGTACCTTTGACTCTTATGCCTGCAACAGCAGTCAATTTGCCTCGGCCAGAGAGAAGTGTAGCCCCTGACGTAATTGAGGCTTTGAGGATTTGGGATATAGACGTACCATCAAATTGGGCAGACCCCGTCCCCCCGTATGTACCAATTGATGACGAAAATCTTGCGTATGAGGAATCGACACATATGGGCCCACGCCGCACTGTAAATACACAGCGTCAAGCAGATCCAGGTGCTGCAGGTGCCCCAAGGCCTCCTACTAATCCTCTTGCTTAAACTATCGTTAAGAGATGTTTTTTTGTTTGATTGTTCACTGATGATTCTGTTTTCCCGTACTAAATACTAATCAACTAACCGATTAATAGATATTACTTATACTTGATTTAAATCATAATACTTGACTAATCATACTAGATTACTATATGACCATGTTCTTAGTGGTAGTGCTTAACGTGTATAAAGAGATTTAAAATTACAAATAAGGATTCCATATTCGGTGACTAGACAACAATTAACATCTTCATAGGGTCATACGATACATATTAATCACACTAAGTCATGTCTAATAGGTCACGTCGCAACACCACAAGTCGTAGCAGACGTAGCAATGTGAATTCCAACCTTGCCGTTCCAAGATTGACTGGAGGCACCTGTATAAATAAGAATAATTCTCATGTATTTACAGAATGGCGAGCATAGTGGGGTGAGATCTATACAATCATAAGATGTCATTGGACAACTCGTACTGCTGTGTCTTTACTGAACTTTTACAATGATACTATAAGACCTATCATTGCACCAATATTGGATGTCCTTCTATTAAATATGTTATATAAGTCATGTAACTACTTGTCTCATAATGATGTTTAAATCTTTATCCAAATGCCCATTAAGAGTCATATAATCTAATAGTTGACCAAGCCATCAACAATAATCTATATAAGATAGTTGGAACAAGTGCCTCTAATTAATCAATTAAATTTATATAAACGCTGTAGCACATAACACATGTGACCAATATGGATTCCAATCACCGTGATTAAAATTCACTCAAAGGGGCATTAAGGGATTAAGTAATACTGGCTCTAATCATAGTGTTATATAATCAATATGTAAAACCAGAAAATAATTATGACTAAATAAGAAACAAAATATCACATAATGTTTCATTCATTCATTAATGACTGATTAGAGAAATTTACCATTATCCAGACTTAAATATCATCACACGTTGCTTTTAGAGAACACGAGCTGGGCAGCGTGCAATCTTGCAAATGTTAATATAAGGTATCAGTACTGACGCCAATGTTATTGTGTATTGTAAAGTTTCATTTTGTTTCACTTGCGTTTTTCGTTACGCGATTTGGTCAATAATGTGCCGAAACTGAGGCGTCACTGTTACAATAACTACTAAATCGAACATCGTAAGTGATCGCATACTTTTGTTCCTGTACACTTTCAGTTTATTGGTGGTCGACCAAGAAGTCTACAACAGTACTCTAGAACAGGGGTGTCTATAACTTTCTCATCTCGTGTTAGTAACTCAGAAACAGCGGTCCCCCACTACCTATACTCAAAGAGTTACTCGAGCCTGTGTATGTGAGCAGTTCTATGTAGTGTTCAAATAAACAGGTGATAGTAAGTCTGGAGAGGGTAACTTTTCGTGAGGGGAGTATCACGAGAGTACCCGTGGGCACTGATGTAACATCCTTGATGTAATGTATTGTTTATTATATATAATTCGTAGTGAGTAAAACATTTGTGAAACGCTGGTCAAAATTTTATGTCAGTGGAGAAAATACAGTGCGTGACATGCTGCATATAAAACGTTCGTGTGGTCCAAGCCTTATACTTATATAGGTTCTCGAAATACAGCAGGTACGCTTAAATTGTTAAGAGGCCATAAATATAAATTATGTCGTAGTTTGAATTATAATATTTAGAAATGAAAACAAAATTATTAATTTATAAATAGTATTATAATTTTATTATTCTAACTAAAATTTCTTTTAATATAACAAATTTATTATATGAGGAATTATATTACAAAAATACACGCAAATAACATGCAAAGCAATGTAAAAATACTTGTTAAATATGATGTAAATACTTATGTACAGTAAATCTTGGATAATTACAACATTGTGAATCTCTTCGTGATTGTAATTTTATTGTGGTTAGTGTCATTTCAATTAGAAAAATATAATAAACACAATGGTAAAAGTTTCATCCATCAAAAGTAAAAGATAAGAAAGTTTGATTTTTGAAGTGAAGACCTCCATATTTAATATCTTCGTATCTATTTACTTCTTCATAATTGCAACATGTAGATCCAGATGTGTGTTGCAATTATCTAACATTCATTGCACATATATACATGTATAATTTTTATTTAATTATATAATCTTTCCATTATTTGTTTGTATATTAATACCTTTTAAAAACTTAAAATATTCATAATTAATTTTCTAGTTTTGTTATCTTTAAATATATCCCTCCTTTCGGCGCTAGTAAAAATGCAGTTGGATCAAATACATATGGGATCATTGTTTTTTCACACACATCGACCTTGTGATTCCGAAGTATTTTTATCAGTCCAAGTTTCGATTGGTAAACTGCAAATCGCGCACCTGAAAATGACAGTTATTATATAGTGGTAATCAACAACTTCATTAGCTCAATTTGAAAATATAAAATGATTACGAAAGAATATAATGATTAAGAGGTTATAATATTTTTAAACATAATTATTTAAACAATACTAAATCTTGGAATAATTATAAACATGTTTTCTCAAATATTCAAAATTATAACACAAACATAGACAGCTATAAAATAATAAATGTCGAATATTTGTTTATTTATTTTCTATCAAGTTTCATCAATATTTGCGCATAGAAGTTGGATAATAGCACGTGCCAATAATATGTTTAAAACTATTCTAATATCTGATACTGGATAACTTATTTTATATTATTTATGCTATATTACTTATACTATTTAACAATTTTTATTGTTACGTACCAATGCAATTTCTTGGTCCATCACCGAAAGGTAAATAAGTCATAGGATGTCGCGTCTGAACGGCTTCGTCATTAAATCTTTCAGGAATAAAAGCATCAGGATTTGGGTAGATCGTAGGATCTCGCTGGATTGCAAATATTGGTATCCAAATCATCGTTCCCTTCGGAATCGTAACTTTTGTCCCGTCGAAACAATAATCGCACATGGATTTCCTCATTAAGAATGGTCCAGGTGGATATTTTCTTAATGTTTCTGTATATACAAAATTTCAGTTTACGCCAAACCTATGATTTTATAATTTAAACCGTATAATCAACTGCGGCTTCCTAATGTCTATTTTCAAAATCTAACGAGTTTAAAGAATTGAGTTTTTAAATGGATTTCTGTTGTAAGTGCTGCTATGAAAATATTTATTATTTTAATTAAAGAACTAAGGGAACTACTTAAATAAGGACTAATGAAAACTGAAAACTAAACAAGAAAAAATTAATTAATCTTTTAATGAATTAATTTGTTCGGTATTATACTATTTACAAACTTGACAAATACACAAATCCCATTTGTTTGCCAACATAAAATTATTACTATTCCATTCTTTGGAATTATATTTTTGTTTATGAAAGAAAAATTATAGTTTTATATTTATATAAGTTAATAATATATCTAATAGTATACATACTTATGTGACGGACACGGCTGTTAAAGGGTTAAAATAATATAATCTTACTTAATTTGTTGTCTAAACGTTTCTTGCTCACCTCGGAATACTAAGTCCAAGTATGCCATTTCTTTCACTTCGTCGTATTTTAACTCTCCTTTGTTTTTATCACAATGTTCTCGGATTTCTTTTCGAAGTTTATCTTGTACATCCGGATTTAAAGCTAGTTCGTATAGAGCGTTGCTCATCGCTGATGAAGAAGTCTCAAAGCCAGCGATGAAGAAAACGAAAGCTTGAGCAGTTAGCAAAGTGTCTGTGAGTTCTGGAAATATGGTTATTGTCTATTAAAGTTTTTTCAAAATCATTATAAAATTTCTTTCAATGTATTTTCTTTTATAGTAATTTGTTATTTCAAACTGAAACAAATATTGCAAAAGCAAGTAACGTGCGCAAACAAGATTTTCTTCGTTTACAGTTTTATATCGTTTTCCTTGTATATTATTATTTCATAGAAATATGTAATTTAACTTCCATTTATATATAACATGATTATAACATTACGAATGAACATAACGAAAATTGATAAGATACGTAGCGATTGAAATAAAATTGAAAGTCGAATTTGCGTTGACATAGGATTTGCAAAGTTACAATAAATTCACAGAAATTACTAGTGTGATATAAATCCATAATAATAATAACTATTTGTAATCATAAAAGCAGTTTATGTATATTATAATTAAAATTTTCCATAGGGTGAATTTTAAAATTAACTTAAATATCTCTATTACTGAATATAAAACACGATCTACATTGCGTTGACCAATAATGAGATAAAAATTAAAAATGGCAAGACCAATTACTTAAAGATATTCTCATCTTACTAAGAACTACTAGATTGTTCCGAACACGGAGCTGTTGGATGATAGAAAAAAAATATTGTTTTTCATTTTGAACATAAACTTGAAGACTTCTGTATTTATATTTCATCCTGTGATTTTATCACACTTACTGATATTCTCCAATTTATCTGGATGTTTCTTGAGCTCGAGAAGCATATTGACGAAGTCCGGCCTAACTATATTATTTTGGCTTCTGTATTTCAACGTGTCCGAGATTACTTTAGTGAAAAACGATGTAATTTCCGATTTCGGAAGTATATATCCCAGCATTCTGTAAAACCATGGCATTGCCTGTCTAAGGCGGAATCTTACTACTTGGATAAAGCTAGTGGAGAATACTTTTCGGCCCACCCGGCGAAATTCGCTTTCTGTGTCCGACAAAGCGTTCGTTTCAAGCCCAAAAGCGCAGCTACCAATCACATCCGTTGCATATTTCGCTGTCAATTCGCGGCATTCTACAGGCTCTCCTTTTTCTACAACTTTTTCCAAATATTGTTCCAAATGTTCTGAACACTCCAATATGAGCGGAAACATTTCCTTGAGTTTGCCGGACGTGAACACCGGTGAGAGCCTTGTTCTCAGTGGCCGCCATCTTTCCGGCTCCAAGTTGAACAAATGTGGAGACAACGGTTCTGTCTGTGATTCATTTGCAGAATAAAATATTATTTGAATTTTTTATTAAAATTTCAATAAATTATTAAAATGATTAGAAATAAAATTATTTATTAAAAAGTGATACCATATGAGAATGTGGCAAGAGAAATTTTCGTTGATGGAATAATGTATTAATATATTAATAAATTTAATAATATCTGATATTCGTTAATAGAATATTTTCAGTAACTAAATATTTTAAAATACGAATTAAAATAAAGTAAAAATGTTTGAATTGATTGAAAGATAATTATTTGACACAAAAAAATTTCATTTTTACAAATCTTCTGTATTTGAAGAATACTGTGGGGCAAAAAATTTAACACTAGAACTACCGAGCATTTAATACGATTAATATGTAATTCCTATAAAAATTGTAACAATAGATTATTTTCAGCTTCTTCAGACATTCATTATAATATCCAAGAGAAACTATTTATTTTCAAGATCGTTTCGAATATTCAATGCTTTTAAGATATTGAAAACTGCGAAATAAATAAGTCGAAATCAATCATTTTGACTGGTACGGTAGTTCTAGTGTTAATGCTCCGACAATCTTATTATACCTTTTCGTATACAGGCAAACCGCGGTCCGCAAATTTCGAAAAATCTCTTATTAAAACGTCCTTTATAAGATTCGGCTCTTGAAGAAGAAGGATAGGTGTTCTTCTCGTAAATATTCCGACCATTGGTTCATTTTTGTACTCTTCGTAAAGCATTTGCAAGTAATCGCTCATTGACATTTTCGTGAGCATCACGTCCTTTATGTTGCCGAACAACGGCATAGGTTTCGGTCCAGGAACATTACGAATTTTCCAAAAATCGAAGGTCGCGGTGAAGTAATAATAAATACCATAAATTACTGCTGCGACTCCGCAAAGTATTTCTAAATAATTAGCCATGGTTCCGCAGTGTTCATAATCCAGTAAATAATGAGATTTCAACGAACGAAGTTTGCTGTAAAGTATTATTACTATTATCATTATCATTTGTAATACGGTTGAATGAGAGATTTTTTCATGAAGTTTTTCAAAGACAGTTAACTCGTTAAGTCTAACTGGGTTCGCACGAGCATTGAAATGGCGTATGTCACAACACGGACATGCATTGTTTTATATGGGCTACTCTTGTCTAACCGACAATCATTATCATTAATCCATGTTATTATTTTTCAACTATGATCGATACGACTACCTTGTCATTAATAATTTATTGGAAAAAAGAGAAAAATTCTAGGTATGTCCATGTTTCCTCTAAAGCATAATAATTGATAACAATATTAATATTATAATATTTATTCAATTCTATTTAAAATCTTCATCACGAATCTTGCACGTTATTATAAGGCAAGAGGTTAACACGTTGAACGCCGCACGATTTCATAGAGAAAAATACAAAAAATGGAAAAAATGTAATATTAAATCATTTGATTGAATTGCGTTATTATTATCGCACATTCATCTAGCTGAACATCACCAAATTAGGTAGCATTATTTATAGTATGGAAAAATTTCTAAATAATCGTCGTTTAATTGATGGAATTACAGTAATTCTATTTGGTTGGGGGTCACCGGTGGCCGTCATGGCATACGTGTTTTGCCTACGGCAAAATTGTCGGGGGCAATGAACTCGCAAGGTTACAGCCAAAACCGATGATAGCGTGATTGTTCGAACCTTGACTATGGCAGATGAGGATGTGTATGTGTGTGTGTGTGAGAGAGAGAGAGAGAGAGAAAGGGAGAGAAAGTCACAGTGCGAAAGCATTTGTGTCCTGAACCCTTTACCTTGTAATAACGTGTGAGACTCGTGGTACAGATTTTAAACAGAATTTAGCAAACATAAATATTACTTATAGAAACCTAACCAAAAACTCATTGTAGATGACTCATTGAAAACGGAATTTTATCAGTTTTATCTTTTTTCGATTATCTTGCTGATAACTAAAAAATTTAGCCGATTTGATTTATCTTTTTTACTTTTATTTACTGTCTTGGTTTTCTAGAAAGGAATAATGGCGGACATTGAAGGAGGGGCTTAATAACAACTTGGTGACTTTGCGGTGTACTGTAAAACGTTATTGCAATTTCGAACGGTACTCACAGTAGAAAAAAAGTAATTTATAAAAGTTTAGTTTTAGCAATACTTCTAAATAAATTACTTTTTCATTTTACAAGTTGAAGCTGTTTATTTAATTATAAATGTCGATTAGAGCGATAGATCGGAATTATAATTGTAACCGTTAATAATCAATAAAAAATAAAATGAATGAATGAAAAACAAAACCATCATAGAACGCAAAATTGTTGTCTATACAAAACATAATTACAATCATAAGCATTGAGTTAACATTCTGATTATTTGTAAAAATACCAATTGTTTCATTGTTGTGGAAATATTTAAAAGTATTTTCCTTAAAATATATTTTATTTCACGAAAGGCAAACAAAGAGAATAATTCATTTTATTTTTTTCTGTAAAAATACCGATTGTTTCATTGTTGTGGAAATATTTAAAAGTATTTTCCTTAAAATATATTTTATTTCACGAAAGGCAAACAAAGAGAATAATTCATTTTATTTTTTTCTATATAAAATTGTATAACCAATTTTACTTTTAATTTTACAAAAATAATTATTAATTTTATTCATAGGGCAGCAATTTTATAATACAAAATAAATTGCCAGTTCGTTGAACTGCAATGTGTCGAAAGTAATTATTATTATACAATTTTGTATAGATATTAGTTATATTTGTATAACTCAGTGCATTTAAATCAATTAGAAATCATTTGTCTAGGCCAGCCACGTGTGCTCATGTAAAATATATTTGAATAAATTATGCTGCCATTGTCAGGTGATTTACGACAGGTGACAAAAACGATTAAACCACGGTATTCACTGACACGCGCAATATCGATTGTGTGCTCTTATTAATATGTATTATTACACAAAACATATGCAAACACAACATTTGTACGTACGTATTTATATTTTCTGATGTAAATTGACCGTGCACTTAATAGTGGTCTTCAGAAGACTGCACTGGAGCACGAAAACATCATCAACAGAGATAATAATCAATAAACTGATGAGTCACAATGAGATTCATATTCGAAGTTTCTGCGAATTCATAAAATGACACAGACAATGGACAATAAACAATAAACGAATTCGTTGTATTAGGTGAAATATGATAAATACAAGGTTAAGTCAGATACCGTTTTATGTGTTTACTCGGTTCAGATGACTCGCTGCACTAGGTAACAGAAAGCCTTTATCGTCGGAGTTCATAGCTCGACAGAGCCTTGATAGATTGCTCTACAGCGTCTGCAGTAGGTGTCGCGTCGAGTTGCTCGAATAGACTACTGAAGCTGGAGATACGTGCTTGGATAATTATAATCTGATAACGATCTGCTTATCACGTAGATCATAAAACAATTAAAATTATCATTTACTTTATATGACATCAAGGAGTAATTAGTCTGCAAGTTTACCTAAGTCAGTAATCACGCCTAAGTCAATAGTGTCACTTCTGGAATGTATAGTTTCCTTGCTCCAAAGGGTTAGTTAAATTTATAGGAAGTGAAATGAAATATTACATACTTCTGAAATTATACTTCTTTATTTTCCATTCACATCGATTACTAAGGGAAGGCTAATTAAAAATGTGGTAGCCTATCAAGCTTATTAAAATCGATCTTGACTTCTACCATAATTCAAGAGATATTATCATTGTTATAGTTTAACACAAAGTGTTTTAAAACTATATAGTTAATATTAGGAAGAAGATAATTAATATCAATATTAACATAAAACAGTAATATTTTTAACTTTATTTACAAAAATTCGAGGAATATTTGTGTATAACTTATATACATGATATAAAAATATAATACCACACTTTATTAGCTCGTAAAACGCTGAATTTTATTTTTGTTATAGATGTAATTTTTATCTACGTTTTACCAATTTATTATTATTTATTTATCTCAAATAAATTTTAAACAAATTTTATAAATTTAAATTAATTATAAATTATGCTATATTATAAATTAATTATAAATTAACTGTATATTTATCATTTAATTTTCAATTTTACTTATCTTCAAGTACATCCCACCTTTCGGACCTAATACAAGTGCACGTGGGTCATGTTCATACGGGACTATTGTTTTTTCACAAACACTAACTCTAAAATGGTGCAGTATTTTTATCAACCCCACTTTCGTTTGATAAATTGCGAAACGAGCACCTAAAACAAGAAATCATAAATTACATCGAGATCAAAATGACTGAAAATAAATTTCTAACAGTATTAAGTATTGTAGTACACCAAGAGGCTACAAAAAACTATGTCCACGTTGATAATGGAATTAAATTATGAATATGTTTGATTGATAAATATGTTAACCCTTCGCGGTCGAATGTCGTCGTAACTACTTCGAATTTCGATATCTAAAATCGAAAGCTGTAAATGAATAATTTAATTAATAATTTTATTTTTTTTAGCATTTAAGACTTCAATGCATAATTCAGTCTTTTATGAAAAGAAATGTTAGATGTTTAAGATCGTTTCGTCCGCAAAAGGTTAATAGAAAATTGTTGACCGTTAAGGGTTAATATTATTTTGTGTATTACCTATGCAATTTCGTGGCCCTTCTCCGAATGGTAAGTAGCTCATCGTGTGTCTCGTTGCGATTGCATCTTCATTGAACCTTTCTGGATCGAAAATTTCTGGACTTGGATAAATACTGGGATCGTGATGAATCGCATACACTGGAATAAATACTCCGGTACCTTTGGGAATTGTTATTTTACTTCCCCTGAAGGTGTAATCCGAGTTACATTTTCTTCTTAATGTTGTTCCTGGTGGATATTTCCTAAGTGTTTCTGTTAATGAGAATACACAATTTTAGATTCAGCGGTATAGATAACTGTCGTTCATCTTAGGTCCCAGACGAGTTTAACACTAAGACTACTATACCAGTTAAAATGACTGGTGACAATTTCTTTGTTTTGCAATTATTGATATTTTAAAAACATTGAATATTCGAAACGATCGTGAAAATAAATAGTTTCACTTGAATACTATAATGAATGTCCGAAGAAACTGAAAATAATCTATTGTTACAATTTTTATAGGGATTAGATATTAATTCAATTAAATGCTCGGTAGTTCTAGTGCTAAATTAAGTTAGAGCCCGGAATATCTCTTATTCCTTACTGTTGGACAATTGAATAACGGATCGTCAGATCTAGGTCATCTCCAATCCATAAGAAAGTTCATTATTTACGTATTTAAATTTTAAATATAATCAATTTTAGCTTGTTAATGAATTATTTGTAAGCTCAGACTGTTAACGATAAACAAAACTTTTGTGAGAAAAAATAGACGGTTGAAAGAGGAAAATATTACAACGAAAAATTGAAAATTAACAATCTTTTCATTTTTCATCGTAATATTTGCCTCTTTCAATCGATTTTTTTTGTAATAAATATAATTACAATTGTAATTATAAATTATAGTAATTAAATTATTTTTAATTTTATATTAAAATTAGTTTCAATAATTAATTTAATTCTCCATTAAAACGAAAAATATCAGATTGACTCTGATATAATGCAGAGTCCCGAATTTATAGAAGTATCTTCAAAAGGTAGTGGGCGTAATTCCGCAGATACTAAGTGAGAAAAAATGCGTCTGGAATGTCCTTATCAATATAAGTAGATAATATCAGATATGTTTGATAACGTACCTTTAAAAATTTTATCCAAGTATTTCATTTCTTTCACGTTTTCGTATTTGAAGTCGCCATTAATTTTAGCGCTAGTCTCCTTAATTTCTGCTCTTAATTTATCCTGCATCTCCTGGTGAAGAGCCATTTCATAAAGAGCGTGGCAGATAGTCGTCGACGATGTTTCAAAACCGGCTAAGAAGAAAACGAACGCCTGACTAGTGAGCAAGGCGTCCGTCAATTCTAAAACAAAATTCGATCTTAATTAAATAATAAAATTGTTGAAGCGAACATATTTGAAATATTAGTATTACTTATACCGGGTGTCCCATTTCAATAAGTACAATTATTTCCAGAATCATTCGTTATTTTATAAATGTCTGAAACGCAGTTTTCTCTGTTTTAATGAGTTCTATTGAGAACCCATTGGTAGATAAGTTGACACTTTTCTGTAGAGAATAATTTCCAGCATCGATTAACAGAAAAAATATTACGTGGTCAAATATGGTACAATTATGGTCTTCTCAAAACAAAAAAATGTTCGTCTAAGACATTTTTCAAACAGCGAATAGTTCAGGAGATAATTGCATTTATAAATTGAAATGGGACACTCTGTATATGTAATTTTACGTTCAAAGTGAGCATGCTCGTGAATTAATTCTTACATGTTCTGAATAAAAGTTGAGACGATCATAACCTACCAATATCTTCTAATTTGTCTGGATGTTTCTTTAACTCCATTAGCATATTTACGAAGTCTGGTCTATATATTTTATTCTCTTCCCTATAGTTTATCGTATCCGAGATAGCTTTAATGAAAAAAGTGGTAACCCTTGTGTAGGGTAGTATGCTCCAGATGTAACTGTACAACTTAGGCAAGCTTTCTTTGAATGTTTGCTTCATGAGGATCCATGGCGAAGTCGAAAACGCCTCTTTGCCTATCCGGCGAAATTCACTTTCTTCATTAGACAACGCGTTCATATTGATCCCGAACGCGCAACTACCGATAACGTCAGTCGTGAATTTCGCTGCCACTTCGCGACATTCTATCGGCTCTTCTTTCTGAACGATTTTCTCCAAATATTTCTCCAGTTGCTGCGAGCAATCCGTTATCAAATGGAACATTTCTTTGATCTTTCCGGATGTGAACACTGGCGAGAGCTTTGTTCGGAGAATTCTCCATCTCTTTGCTTCCAAAGAGAAGAGATTCACAGACAATGGTTCCACCTATAGTGACATTAACATCGAGATTAGTTTTCATATCAAAAGTGCTGACAGAATATAGAGAAAGCTGGGATAAGTTGATATATTTTTCAGTTTTTAATAATAGAACTATTGAACAAACAAATTAGGTTTTTTAATATTTTTATAGATACTTCAGGAGTGCATCTATTAAGATATTAATTGATTCGTAATTCGGTTTGCGTATTGCTAAATCGATCTGTTTATTTATTTTTTGGGAAAGCTATCTTTTCGATAATTGTAAAAGAAGAAACTATGTTAAACTATACTTTGAACCTTCTTTTACGTATATTGTATATAACACTTCGAAAAAGTATATAGGAAAAAGATGGCGTGCCATTTATTCGATGGCATTAAAGACTATCAATTTACCCGTCTTCTCTAATGCACAACGTATTACCTAAACTTGTACCGCAAATTAATAGTTGAATAATTACATATTTGTACATTTAAATTATATATAATTATATATTTACAATAATATATTTATTTAATACATAACAAGTTGATACAATATATTTCTGTATACCTTTTCGTGAATAACAATTCCACGGTCATTGAAAGTAGAAAAGTCCTTGATGAGGACATCTTTGACGAGGTCCAGGTCACGCACGATAACGTTAGGAGATCCTCTCACAAATATTCCAATAACTGGTTCGTTTTTGTATTTATTGTATACTTGCCTAAGATATTCGCCCACCAATGTTTTCCTCAATATAACATCTTTAAAATTGCCGAATATAGGTATCGGCTCAGGTCCAGCTACACCTTTGTTCTTCCAGAAATTGAACGTTGATGTTAAATAATAATACACAGCCACGATTACCACCGCGGCGGCGGTGAAAATTTCGAAATAGTTAACCATGTTAACTAATCTTTTGTAACTTTCCAATCTATCAATAGTTCCCTGGAAAAATATCAATACCTTTTTCCAATCGAAGACCATAAGAGAGTCGATTAATGAAAAATATTTCATTGCGCTTTTTACAATTAAATTTTGTTCTACGGCATTATGAATGTTTAGCTGTCTGATATTTACCATCTGAATACAAATACTATTATTGTTGGTAATATCAAAATAGAAGCAACATTGACTAATTGAAATCATTTCCTCGATAAGAAGAAGATAAATGTAAAACAAATAATACAGTGGATTTTGTTAGCCTTGAAAAAGTTTACGTGGTGCTCATTAACATAGCAACGAACGCTGGGATTGAATAATAAAAAGCCTGAAGATCAATGACGCAGCAGAAACACGGCAATATACGTATGTATGTATGTATCTTACCGTGTTGTCACACTTGTTCACAAGTGGACACACTTGAATGCTTGGGCACAAATTAAAGCTTGAAATGGTACTACTTGTTTCAACGATGAAGTCTTTATTTTTTTAGATAAACGTGTAATTCTTCTTTGTTTTGGTTTGGTCTTTCATTAAAATATACGCTAGGTGTATTCGTCCTGCGTTTAATGAGTATATACACGCTTCAGTTTGCTATTTTATTGCGCGCGAAACGAGAGATTTTTTAAACTAAATTACACAGTTAACGACGCAAATCGCGTTGCACTATTCTTTTTGTATTTTAACACTAGAACTACCGAGTGGTCAAATCGACTTCGTTTTATTCTTTTGTGAGTATTATAAAAGTATATTTATTGAGATTTCCATTGGTTTATATTTTAATTTGTACATTGCTGAATAAAATTATCATGTAAAGGATTGTAATGGAAGAAATGGGTTATTTTGACCTGTCTGGTAGTTTTAATGTTAAAGAGTGTACTGAGAGGCTCAGAATAATAATGGTCTAACTTTTATTTCTGAGTTCTCGAGAAGAAAAGTTTTTGTAAGATGTTCTTGGATTAATTAAATGCTAATATTAATAATTATTAATGATTAATATAATTAATAACATTGTTACATTAATATATAATTAATTCAAGAACATTTTACACAAGTTTTTTTTCTAAAAAACTCAGAAATAGTAGTTGAACCACTATTATTTTGGGTCGTTTATTTATTGATATGGATATCGATATTCTTGAACGAGTGTCCACATCACATACGGAAATTATTGACTGGGAGGTTAATTATTATATCAAGTTATATAAACAAAAAATATAAAGAAATATAATAGACCGAAGTTAATGAAATAAAATATAATAATGGTTCCTTTGCTGAATGATTTCGATAGATACTCGTTTTCCGACTTTGTCATTTAGCATGATTCAGAGCAAGGGCCTACAACTTCTTTCGAGTTACGTCAAATTTTAATGATCTCAAAATGATAAGATAAGCCAAAAATGACTAGGTATGTTTATGTAGAAGGAGGAAGTCAACTGTAATATATTGCTGAGTTAGTGTGACTAATCATAAACGACATTGTACAGATGATAATCGTGAAAATAGACAGATATAATCTTGATACTACACATTATATGTAAGTATTATTAGTGTCGATAAGTAAGTGATAAAGCATATTATTCATTATTACAATAGAAGGATAATCCAGGAAATGGTATTTGTTCATTCTCCAGTATTTGAGATCAGTGATAAGGCGATTACAATGAATGAATTCGAACGGCAAGTTATGCTAAATAGATAAAGTAACGATAAACAAATAGAAGAAATAAATAAAATAATAAAGTGACGTTTTTAAAATGTACGTAAACCCGCATATATTTGAAACAACAATTCAATCAATTTCAAGTGTAATTTTTAAAGAATTCCAAGCATTTATATTAGCCGTTATATTGGTATCATAAAATTAATGAAAACAGTCGAAGTGATACAATAAATATTTACAGTACCCGCGCCTTGTAGTCGGCACGAATATCAGTGTAGCGTAAAATGATCCTGGCTCGACGACGTAGTAATGTAATAATCAGAGAAAACCACAAATTAATATTTTATTTCATGAATATTTTAAATTAATTTATGTTTACACCAAATAAATGTATAATTTACAATCTGTGTAATAAATATGTTTATATAAAACTATAAACACTTCTGTACTTAACAAATCTGAACAAACGACTGACACAGAATGTCGAAAACAAGATAAAATTTGCTCCTGGTAGATTCAAACCTGAATTTACTCGATGATTTATTCAATCTTAAATTGTACACTCCACGCGTACCGCAGCAACCAGACAGACTCACTTGTGCTAACACTTGATTGTCTTTCGCAACTGGCAGTGCTAACGCGAGAGTCTAATCCGGATGTTGTGTGCCATTTCTGAAAATGTATAGCTAAGTACGGTAATCTTCGGATATTAAATTGAAAATATAAGTGAAAAACATTGCATAGTATTATGGTTGCAACCTCTCATCATTTAAAATTGAAAGAAATTTAGATTTTACAAATGCAAATCGAAAGTTTCTAAGTACGGAAGTACTTTAATATTAAAATCAATTTATCTGAAAATAAAATGTAATAATAATTATATATGGAATTTAGTACCAGATTTAAATATAAAGTTAATAATAAATCAACAGATAATAATACAATTCAAGGATGAGTTCAATAATAAGTGGATAAAGTGAGGTTAAGTAATTATAAGATTATAGAGACAACTAGCTGTCAACTTTAAAGCAACGTAGAACTATGTAAATATCCGCCAATATATATGCTACGTGTATTATCTCCGATAACTTGGAATTGTAGACACTAGCCTCGTCGTGATAAAATGCTCAGGACAATTGTTCAATCTAGAAATTGCACACAATAACATGTAAAATTCTGAGAAATACATAATGCAAAAGTACTGATTAATACTTCTGTTAACCAGTCAATTGGATTTGACGAGTATACGCGTCATTTTAAAATCCAAAATAATACTAATTTGTTCAACAATAAATGATTTATTTTTTCGAATAAACACATGTGCATTTGCCCTGCATGTGTCTGACGTATATACTCGACATTACTCGATTTTAATCACGCACACCACAAGAGTTTCAAAACTAAGTTCCACAGTTATCGCGTTAAACAATTTCCCGTTTAAATGAAAATATAAATTTATGAGTTATAAAAGATAATAACAATTTACAAATATTAATTTAATTAACTTCCAATTTTTTAACTGATTCTTATGTAACTTCTATTTAGAATTATAAACCAACAAATAGAAAACAGTATCGAATAGTACTAAAACTCAAAATTAAATTTTCAGTTAGAACTTCTACTAAATAGAATAACACAAATTTCGAGTTAATCCAATAAAACTCATGCTCATAAAAATTGTAGTAAGACTGTATTTACTATACCTTGATAATTGAATCACACCACGCGACACATCAGACGATCAAGTAACACGAAAAGAACACATGATACATACACATAAACTATTGGAAGAAAAAAGTTCCGAATCAAAGTGGAGCGTATAAATAAGTTTCCCAGAGCACAGTAAAAGATGAACAAAAGTAAACAAGTCATGGCACCTCGTTTTATACCATCGCGGTGAGATAAATTTACTGATTAGTACACCACTTATAAACCGTTATTTGACATTAATCGCGAATATAGCATTCATGTTTCTCCGAATTTTATCTCTATAGCATACATCTACACTAAATAAGATTTTTTTAGATGCACCGCTCTTTCGGCACGAAATTTACTATTTTATAATATACAGATAGATTTTATTGATATTATCGATAAATTTTATACAAGTAGTAAATATTTTACGAAAAAGGAAAAGAAATTTGTTTTTATCAAGTTTAGTTCCTAAGACGTATTAAGACCGTGACTTGCATCTTTTATGTTCGAACCGTGAACGATATTTTTCATACTCAATATCATAAGACAAAGGATGAACGCAAAATTTTACTAAATCAATAAATAAACAAACGAAATATTGTGCATTACTGATAACTGTTGTACTCTAAATCACTAATGTACTTTATTACTAAACCTTTTTTATTTTATGTATTTTTATTCCATAACCAGCACAGTCATAATTAAAACTGTATATTATATACATTTGTATCAGTTTTGTCCAAGGCACAACCCTAGATTTAATTGTAAATTCAGGATTATTTGGACATGTTTGTCTGTATTGGAAAGTTAAAAGGTTTCCTCTTCTACTTCCATCTGAAAGTTTAATCTCGTATGATAGTTTATATGGACTGAAAGTTCTGAAAAATAAAGTTCAAATCAGATCATTATAGCTTTTTACTAACCGCCTATTGGATCCAATTGAAAATCGAAGCATTAAGCATTCATATAAAAAAAAGTTTGGTCTTGTGTTAACAACTTTTTGTTATCTTTTTCTTATCTTTGTCTTTCCTTCTCCTGTAGCCAATGTGTCGGTAACGTTAATTTCTATTTGTAGATAAAGTCAATTTCTATTTGTTATTAGAAATTGTTTAACTTCACATTTCAAAATCCTTTCGTTAATATCCGTAATATTCTTTCTGTAAATAGTCAGTTAGAAACAAACTGTCATAGAGTTTGATCAATAAAAATATTTCAACATCATAATTTAGTAAAAATTGTAAATAAATGTATTAAATAAAAATACACGCCACACTTCGAAATTGGTGGCGTCACCTATTGCAAGGAAGCTTAAACTTCTAGCCAACTAATACTAGATTGTCTCCGCTAAATGACGTCACCAAATCAACTGTGTAGCGTTTCTTTATTCAATATATTATTTATTTACAATGTTCACTAAATTATAATGTTGAAATATTTTATCCACCAACTTTTATGATGGCTTGTTTATAAGTGACTATTTACAAAAAGAATATCACGAATATTAACAAAAGAATTTAATATGTATAGTTAAACGATTTCTAACAACAAACAAAATTATCTTTATCTACATTACTGAACATTGGCTACAACTGTCTCCGTCTTTCTCACCTACTATTCGCTCTCACGTTAGTGTCGTTGGCCATTTGCGTAGAAGTGCACAATGGCAAAGGGTGACGTCTACTCGTCAGGCTTGGCTCGATTTTTATGGTAGCTCAGTTTCCGCACGTCCTTGTTATTGACCGTCTTTTTTCGTTCCGCGGCTCGGCCAGCAACAAAGACGTGCCAAAACTGAGTCGCTACAACAATATCAGTTCCCTTGTAGAAACAGTTTTAAAAAATGGCGGGAATAACTGCGCAACAGTGTTTGCCAATAGTAGTTAATAGGTGTCACTAAATGGTCTTCGAAAACCCGCAATTTTTTAAAACATCTCTAACTTTTAATACCCAGAAATTTATTACTGTTTATAAGATAATTAATATTTGATAGAAAAATATAATTTTAGTATACAGGTGATTTAAAAAAGCAGAGCCTTTGCATCATCTTCATTTAAGAATCTTTAGATTATTATTCATAAGATGAAAAATATTTGGAATTCTATTTGAGATTATGATATTCATAATTGAAAACTTTTTTTAGAAGCATAATACCCTATTTAATTCACTCTTGGTATATCCGGTTCATCTTCTTCGACATACGATGTTAATGACTTCGGTTCTTAATGTTACTATTTCAGTAAATTGTAAAGATGCCAATATTGTGGAAAAAGGTAATTTTAGAGAATAGATCACAATTTGGTCAGTAGGAATTATTTTTTGCACATAAACATATGTAAATAATACATCTTATATTTTATTATGATTTACATTACAATAGAAATAAATATGTATTGAAAGCTTGAATTAAAACACTATATGCTGATTACATTGCAGTCATCTATCTAACAAGCCCACTGTTGCAGTTAACTTCTCAATTGTAGGAAATAGGGACACTCTATAATTGTATGGCCATGAGGTTAGATTCTCTGCATCTGTACCACTTAGTTGTTCCCTATAGGAAGAAGGTGCAAGGTGATTGCTATGACATCACCGTGGGAACGTTGATTCGGAAAAGCGTTATAAAGCATGGAGATGATCGACACGCAAGTCATTCGATGTAGGTAACGTACACCCACGTCGTTACCCTACAATTTACATCGTCAGTTTTCGGATATACATAAATTCTTGTATAAATTCATTACGGTGACAATAATCAAATATTTAAAATCATGGAAATTAAAAGTGGTTTTTCACAAAATACTGACACAAAAGAAATTTCTTCAAACGGAGAACTAGAGTATTGGATGACTCGACTTCCAGATGCTATAAAAAATATACCTATAATACAGTTGGCAATACCCGGTACGTTCAAATATCCTATTCTTCGCAATTACATATAATCACGTAGAAGTTAATGTAATTCAATAATCATAAATACTTCCATAATTTACACTTCCTATGTTTTACTGTATTGTTTAAAAATATTATGCATCTTATTTATTCAAGTTAGGAAGAGAAATTTTAGCTTACCGCCAAAAATTATGTATCTTTACAAAAAATTACTTATAAACTTAATAAATCACATAATATTCCGATTAATTTTTACAGAAAACTATAATCAAAATAAAAAGGTAGAGTCGAAGAAAATTTGCAACTTAATGAAAACTTTGCGTTTTAATCGCTTAGTAATTTTGATAAAAGCAATCGCTTTAAATATAAAAATTTCATTTTCTTCATTATCTTTGTTAAACTACAGGTCTTAACAAATTATTTAAAATTCAATAAATTACATACATTTAGGATCTCATTTTGAAGAGCTACATGAGACGAAAATAATAAAAACTTAATATTTAATAACTTGTAACAGGTTCTCATAATACAATGACTTACACTATAAATCGTCGTAATGAAGTGGGGCCGGACGAGCCAAACTACATTAGAACTCTCGGCCGTTACTGCTCACCTGTTTCAAAACCCATTATATTTAATTGGTCTATTACGCAACATGACAGTGTGAAGGATCAGCTGAATGGAGGAATTCGGTACTTAGATTTTCGTGTCGCAACGAAACCAACGAACAGAAATATTTATTTTGTACATGGCTTATATGGTTCAGAAATATATCAACCACTACAGGAAATTGCGGAATGGCTGTCTTCTCATAGTAACGAAATTTTAATCGTAGATTTTCAACACTTTTATTTGTTCAAAGAAACGGATCATCAACATCTTGTAGACATGATTTTTCGAGTATTTCAGAAAAAATTGTGCCCCATATTTTCCAGTTTTGATCACATAACGCTTAACTGGCTTAATTTAAAAAGATACCAAGTGATCGTTATTTATAGAAATATTTTCGCGCAAAATTATTCGAATTTATGGCCTAGTGGATTATGGCGTACACCTTGGCCTAACACCACTCGTGTCGATGAACTTCTAGATTTCTTAGATATAGAACTGCAAGCAAGACCACTAGAAATTGGCTTTGTATCACAATGTGTTTTAACACCAGACGTCTCATATGTATTAAAACATATATGTGGAACGTTGCAGAGAAGTTTAGTGCTATTAAGTCAAAAAACGATTTTATCTTGGTTAAGTCAGAAACGCTCCGGTCAAGGTGGATTGAATATTGTTATTGCCGACTTTGTATCAGATAATAATTATTTATTCTGCAAGACAGTTATTGCAAACAATAAGAAAATGTTTCATTTGTAATATTCTGTATGAAATAGTATATTATGTCTGCATCTATACAGTGTAATTAGAATAGTACTATCTTGAGTATTTCCAAAACTTCAGAGTTAAAGAAAAATTTGTACAGTAAAGATCATACCATGACAGTTGTAGTAAATATAATAATCAATAATCTAAAAAGTAATGTATATATCTAAATTAATTACTACAAGATTATAAAACTGTATTACCAATGATAATTATTATGTCTAAAGATTTTCTTGTTGTGTGTAAGATGTAAGATATTTTAACTCTTTCTGTAATTGGAAATTACCCATAAATAATTATAAGAATATACCATTCTATTTGAAAAAATGGAAGGTAATTTGTACATATACAACATTTTTTCATTTATAAAGAAAAATTGTCAATATCATGTGATACACACTATCAAGAGATTATAAGAATAATATATTATTGTTCAACAATCTTTTTCCTAGCTTCAATGGTTAGATGTTAGAGATCATTGTTCTCATTGATTTATATTGTTTATATTTTAATATATTTTGGTTGTGATAAATT